TTGTCATCAACTATGACACCTAGAAATTTAATTTCATATACTCGTTCTATATTAGCTCCCCCAATTTTCAATTGAAGTTCATTATCTAGTCTACGATTCCCAAATACCATAAATTTAGTTTTATCCAAATTCAGAGATACTATATTACTGTCACACCATTTCTTTATCTTCTCAAGTTCCTGTGAAACCCGTCCAGAGAGTTGCTGTAGGTTTTCACCCGATGCCCATATGGTTGTGTCATCAGCAAACAAAACCACTTTCACTAAATCAGAAACCTTGCATATACATTGTGTAGGGCAATTAAAAACCTGGAGGACTTTGAATCATTTACATTTTAAGTGGTATTAACATAAAGACTGAATTCTCTGTCTGAATGAATCTCTTCACCAACAGAGGGAGTAATAGTTTAAAAGAAGTCTCTTAAATATGTTATATATATATATGTCTGTTTGGTTGGTTGGTTTTTTGACTGTGTGTCTCCATGACCATCACCCTTCAAGGCCAATGCAGTCATCTTGTTTGCTTGGTAATGTGGTCACAAGTAATCTGCATTAAATACAAAATCTCCACATTTGCATTTGTGTGTGTGTGTGTGTGTGTGTATGACATTGAAAAGTTGTGAAAACAGTGCTAGAACAATGACAGGCTTTTCCTCAGCTGTATAGGATAGGCAGTGATAGGACATCTTTTCCTAAGGTCAGAGTTATCCATTTGGGAAATTATTCAGCTCCTGCTCCTGCTGCTTCAAGACAGCACGTCAAACACAATGAAGAATATTAGAAAACACAAATAACCTTCTGCAGCCTTTGTCATATGTGCTACAACACACAGAGGTGCACACACGCTCACACGCCTCGGCCCACACGTCTGGATGTGAGAACAATAATGAAATGATGCTAAAAGAAAAAGTGAAGACTAAAGAACAAGAGGCCTCTGAGGCCAGAGCCCAACGAGTGGCTCATCCATGTTAAGTCAAGCCAAGACGTACTCAGGTGTATTCATGTTCAGTCAGGACAGAGCCTTGCTGACCTTTACAGCAGATGGGGAGTTTCATGGAGCTCTTTTTGAGCTATCCTGAGATTCAGAAGGTAAATAACAGACTTAATGCAGCACTTTCAAATGTGTGCGTATTCAGAAGTGTGTTAGTGCATGTGTGTGTGTCAGTGACCACATGCTGACCACTTTCTTTATGGTTCAACCCTTTCAGTCTAATCTGTTTTGAAAATGAACAGGTTCAG